ATCCACGTCATCATTTACCCAGAATGCTTTGTGTGTAAATAAAATGGCTCCGTCCGTGTTAAAATATATTTTTAAAAATTTACAAAAATGAACATCCTACTGTATTTTTACAGTCTTTATTTTACAGTTAAAATATATTTATCAAATAAAAGTCTAATGTTACAACTAATCAGGGATCCATTTAAAGAGTTCCCCTTTGATGTCACTTCCTGTTTCACTTTTTTGAGCCAGATTTAAAAAACATGCCCATTATGTCACAAAATGGATAAAACCATGAGTATTATACCATGTTTTTTAATACAAAAGGTGTTTTGACTTTTTGTTTTTAAAGAAGCATGTCACGGCCATTTTTCCCACCAGAGCATTTCCATCAGACCAGACCCCTGCAGAACCTCGATTCTTTGATTTTTTTTTTGATGTTCTGTTTGATATCTGCTGCTGTGTTTGAGATCATTGTCCCAGTTTGGACAAATAATGACTTCAAGAAGAATTAAGCAAATGAGTACGACTCGTAAATTACTGTATTTAAGAAAGAAAAATTCTTACCGGGACCACCAACGACGTGACGCCGCTGGCGAGGCCAGTCAGAAGTCTGCCAACATAAAACATCCATATGTTCTGAGCGGCGATGATGATGGTGAAGCCGAAGACGAAGGGCAGCGCACAGAGCATCAGACTGAGCTTCCTGCCGATCCTCTCCACCATCCAGCCTCCCAGCAGCCCCCCCACAGCTGCTCCCACCGTCACTATGGACTGAAGCAGCAGAACGCTCCGTTAGAACACAAAACAAACCAGTTACTGATGTAAGCTCTTCATCTAATCTGCTGTAAGAAGGGGTTTTGGACAGCACGTGACGTTACGTCATCGTGACGGACACCGTACCCCGAACCAGGAGGCCTCCTCGTCGTCCAGCCTCAGGCGAGGGTTGGAGATCTTCATGAGCTCGGGGATGGCGGGGGAGCTGTATCCCAGCACGAACCCGAAGCTCATGGGGCCCAAGACGGAGGCTAACGTCGCCAGGTACAACTTCCTGTTCTTCACCTTACTGCAGACAGAAGAACAGACGTTAACTGGCTTTTATAAATATTAATTTTAAAAGAGCAACATTTTAATCAAATAAAAGATGTATGTATGGTTTAACATGCAAACTGTTCATTTCTGTTGTTTTTTTAATCTAACCACTTCTGCAAACTTTGTGCTATTTTAACACGTGTCGAAAAAAAAACAGCTTATTCAGGAAATGTCTGCTGTGACTTAAAGTTTTTGCAACTTTTATACTTTTCAAAACATTGTTCTTATTTAAAAGTGCTACAGACCACTTCATCTATATATTTTTTTATTTATTCATTTTATTTGTAACAATTATATACATAAAAAACATGCAATCAAAATAAAATCTGTATAAAATGAAAGGCAGCAGAAGAAGATTAAATCTTAATAATAATAATATCTGCCCCTTTTTATACCCAAAATATGTTCAAAATAAAAATAAATTACAAGAAAAATCAAAACAACTAAAAACACACAAAGAACTAAAAACAAAGCTAAATTTAAAACACCAACTCAACAAACTTGTGCTTCTCCACATATTTGTTTCACTGCGCTACTCACCACTGCTCACCGGGCTTTTCTCAGCTGTTACCTTTCTGCTCGCTCTAAATCTGCACAATTTTTGTTCGTGATTAAATTAAAAGTTAAATTTGTTGCCTTGCACATGCATTCGTTTACCTGCGAAAACAGCCGAAGCCACTGAAAACACTGAAATGCATGGATGAGTTGTTTGGGCACGAGAACACCTGTGATGTATTGAGTTTATGCTCAGGTTTGTTGACACAAGGCTTTGTTTACATTGAGTGCATACCCACATGACGGACAGTATTACTGTAAAGATTTACGGTAAAGTCTTTCAAACTGAACCATTTGATACATTTCAGGAAGAAAACCTTGTACTTGTAATAATGTAATAATAATGACCTTAAAGTGCCTGTGACATCAATTTTTTTTTGTAATAAACACGAATGCAATCTTGGAAAGATGACATTGATAACATATTACAAAACAAATTTAATTTAGCTGAGATGAACGGTGGTTAAGATATTTACATGTGAAGAAACAGGAAGTGATGTCAAAGGGGAATGTCAGCATGTAAACAGAGCGTTGTTGCTAAAGCTAACACAGACTGTGGAGAAGAATCTGATATTTCTTTAGATTATTTTTAGTCGCTATAAAAAAAAGGACGAAGAAGAGTTAAATTTAAAAAAATTAATAAACAGAGACCAGCGAGTTTATTTTATTAATAAGTTCCCCTTTGATGTCACTTCCTGTTTAACTTCGGCAGAGCCAAATAAAAAAAATAGGCCAGTTATGTGAGAAAATGAGTAAAATCATGCGTATTTTGCAGATTTTCTTTAGTATAAAGATGTTTTCTTTGACTTTTTTGTATTTGAAGGATATGTACATCAGGCACTTTAAAGTTTGTTGAACATAAATACGTCAAGGCCCAGGGTTGGAGGACATAAACTACTTTTTATGTCCTGATGAGACAAAACAAGCAACTTGAAGACACAATAAACTTGAAGCCTTTGGAGCAAGTCAAGGATATTTTTCAGCTGCTCCACAGCACTGTTTACACTGCTGTAATGTAATGGGTCCATTTTAACAAAATAAAAGCATCCGCTGTTTGGGTTTATGGCGGGTCTTTTGAGAGCTGACCTGAGGTAAGCATCCTGCTCTGAAAGGAGTCCTGTCGGGTTCTGATCTCCGCTCTCGTCCTCCAGCAGCCTCCGTCTCTCATCCTGGATGTCCATACCGATCCTCTCTGGTGGTGCTCAGCAGCTTCTCTTCTTCTCCCTGAACATGGAACCAGCCTGAAACAACAAACATGGCTCAACTTCCTGGGGGGAAGCAACATAAAAAGAATGAAACTACGGTTTTACAGAACTACACTCACGTTCAGGTAATAAGAACAGGAACAGCTCGCCACCGCCTGAGTGATCGCTTCCTCCGCCTGCTGCCAACTTGCTTTATCAATATTTCAGTCAGCTGACCGTCGTGTGTTTCAGCTTGTTTGTACGGCTTTCAAAATAAAAGTTTGTAGTTGTCACATGCTTTGTTTCCGTGTTCGAACACTTCAGAAATACCAAGTTCTCCGGGCATTATTAATCACATGTCGAATTGTACAAAACTATCTTTATAAAATACTGTCAAACACTTTTTTTTTTTTTTACATACAGAAGCCCTTAAGTATTTTTCCAATGCTAGCGTAGACAATAGCAACAATGAATGCTGCTATGTTTGCCATAACGTAAAGTAAATTGGTAAAATAAGCACCTGAGCTGAACGATAACTCATTTTAATAATTAAATTTTAAAGATTAGCTTGCTAAAAAGAACATAATTTTAAGCTAAATGATGCATTTGTTTGACATTTGGAGAAGCTAAACAAAACCGGAAACAAGAAACGGTGAACATCTCGCTTTAAGTATGACCTCTTTGTTTTAGAAAATAAAAGTTGTTGCTTTACTGACGCTGAGATTTTTTATTTAATAAACGATAAAGTAAAAATAACTCAGTAATTAAATTATATTTTCAGATTTTTATTTTCAAATAATGAACAACACGAAGGACACAAATAATGAAACAGTAAGTTAATTATTTATGAGCAGATAAAAAGTAAATAAAGATATTTTTTGCGTGTTTGATAAGCTAGTTTATCTAAACACAAAGAAGATTTTGTAACGAATGATTAAATTTAATTGTGTTTTGTTCGTTTTCAAGGACATTCCATTTAAAAGTTCTACATTTTGTTATGTTTGTACAAAGAAATCACAACTATTAAAGTACTAATAGCAAATAACACGTACATTTTAAACAAAAGTAATTTATGTCAAGCTCTCTTCCTAGAAATGTTACTTGAAATTTAAAAGTAAGTAATTCAATGAGATCTACAGAAGTATATTTGTATCATGTAAATTCATTTGCATTGTGCCTGTTTTTTATTATGAAATATAGATATTTTTTTTATTACTTATACAATAAAAATGGTTGAACCTTTTCATATTCATGTGGGTCACCTTTATTAAACTGTCACAATTAAAGCATTCATCTTTTTTTGACTGAATGCTGGAAAAACTTTTTGAAAAACCCAAATTAAAAAGCAGCAATTTCACAATAATATCCAGTTTTCACATCTTTAAATATTAATGAATTTAGATTTTCTGATGTGAAGTCAGTGTTAACTCTGTTTTGTGTTGAAGATGTGAAGTCAGTGTTAACTCTGTTTTGTGTTGAAGATGTGAAGTCAGTGTTAACTC